CCCGTAGAGGTGGTTCAGTCTTGATTTTAAGCTTTCGTGACTGCAGGAATCCATACTCTCTGGTTCTTTTGGTAAAGTCACGTAGATAGAAAAAAATAACAAAAGAAAATATGACGTTTCGGTCGCAACACAAGCGTCCGTATTCAGGTGAGAAAATGATCTGCTGTTGTGGCTTTATATAGGACCGTGTTCGTGATCTGAAACACGATAGGACCAATACCTCGGCCATGGCTATTCATTGTTTTAATGCGGTGGGCTCACACGAGATGTATTTCTCTAAGACGAAGGTACTTTGAAAGCCCAATGGCAATCAACAAAGATTCGTTCATGAAGCCATCCATATATATACACAGACACAATTTCAACCGAGAAGATGGGTACAAACTGAGCAATCATTGGAAGGACGTTATCAACCAGTTTAAGTCATAATTAGCAATGATGTTCCCATCCTACCACCGTCCGATGTTAGTTGTGCTTCATGCCCATTTCAAACTTGCGCCTTCACAGTCACTTCACGTGACGACCCCTTGGTTGCGGCTCTGTGATCTGCCATTAACATGCTAATCTCTCTTTAACATGCTAATTTTCACCTGGCAGCCCTTTGATTGGTGGAAAACGAACCACCGCCGGGCTCGCTGCCGAACACTTACATTATCATTGGCTGCTGACATTTGGGCTACGCCCATTTCAAACCCTTATAAACAGTTTCCCTTGGAAGCTAACCCTCCATTTTCTTAAAGACAACGCTTGCGTTGCGATCGAAACGTCGTAGTTTTCTGTTATTTTTGATTCTTTTCTTTGAACCTATCTACATGACTTTACCGAAAGACCCAATAATATATAGTTTAAAATAGTATGAACACACAAGCCTTTAATAGTTGTAAAAAAAATGATGCTATATTCCATAAATGTTAAATTACAGGCTATGGCAAAATATACTTACAAGGCCAAATTAATTATTTTGCTTATCTTAATTATGTGTTTATTCGATATAGTTGGTCATGGGATTTGAAATAGCAGATTATTAGACTGTTGGCTTGCAAGAAGCAATGCACAATGTGAGATTATGTTATTATTTAATTTAAAGGGTGTTTTCCAAGGTTCAAAGTTTTGGTTAATTGTTTTCATTAAGTTGAATATCTGTTTAATTGTATTTCATTGATACTTGTATTTTGAACTATATTGAAAATGGTTGCTAAAGCCTTACAAATGTTATTGAAATTACACTTTAATAATATTCAGAAAATAAGGCAATTACAATTAAGTTAAACTTAATGTTTACTTTATACTTGCTATCCTTTCTTCAAAATGTATCCCCTGTGTAATGACATTGCACACTTAATGTGGCTCTGCCATTGAAAGCATTAGTTTTCTATAAATTATGGGAATTTGGCTCCAGCAGTTTTCTCATCCAGATTCTAATTTTAACATGCATATAGTACAACATTTCAGTTAAAACCTAAATGATTAAATTGCCTTCCTAATACATAAAGATTTTAATATGATCAATGCCACTCACAATAAGCTCTTCTTCCACGCGTTTGTCCCACTCACGTGAGGTCCGCTGTCCTTGCCAACCTTCTCCACACTGCCCTGTCCTGCACCATCTCTCTTTCTGCTCCTCGGGCCACCAAGTCCGATCGCACCACATCGCCCCACCTCTTCTTCTGCCTTCCTCTTGATCTCTTTCCTTCTACTTGCATCACTTGCGCCTTCTGACCCACATCATTTTCCTGTTGTCTCTCCACATGACCGAACCACACCAGCCTTTTCTCTCTCATCTTTGTGATTTCAACCACCTTGAGTCTTCCTCCCATTCTTCATTTATCGCCCTGTCCTTCCTTGTTAAACCCAACATCCACCGCAACATCCTCGTCTCTGTGACTGCCATAGCTTGGTCCTCCCTCTTTCGTATGCCCCAGCACTGGGCCCCATACAACAGCACCAGTCTCACCACCGTCTTTTCCCTTCAACCAAACTGGGACCCTCTTATCGCACACCACACCAGTCATCTCTTGCCATTTCAGCCATCCAACTGTCCTAAATGGGTTTACAAGGCCTAATCTACAGACTTGCTACAACAGTTAATTCATTTGCTAAGCCCGTAGATGAACCATTGTAATTTAAATGCTGTTATGGATGTATGTGTCATGTTCCAAATGTTTATACAAAATACGGCAAATTTTATTTCTATTGTGGTGCCACTCGTACCTTGCATCTACACTGCATTATGCCATCACATTGAGGTTTCAATATGCTGTTGGAGTCACTACCAATTCTGTTTTTAGATTTTTTTTTAAAGCAAGCACCCATATAATGCATTTTTATTTATCTTGCTTAATTTTCACTATTTAAGAACTCTTAACATTCATTTAATATATTACAGCCCTTAGTCATGCCACTTGCAGGATGGTAGGATGAAATCCTCCACATGTCGTGGGTTTGTTGGACCATACTTCACTATGCTGGTCAGTGCAGATTGACGAAGGGGGTGGGGATGTGCAGGAGCTACCCGTGCCAGTTTCATAGCACAGCACACGAACCACTGCACCATGTATGCAGTACTGCACTGTATATCCTGTGTATGTAATATTAATGATATGTTCTTCCGTTTTATTTAAACCCATTTAAATCCAGTTTTCATTTGCAAAATGCATTTTCTTTTACCATTTTACGAATGTCGACTCAGACTAATTTAAGTACTGTACCTGAACAAATTGTATTCATTATTTACAGTAGTTTATTCAACTCTACATGTATACCTGCAACGATAAACTTAATGAAGATGTTATATAGAATTCCACTGGGACAAGACATCGTGTTTTTTTAAAGATGTGTCGTTATATTTTATGTACACAAATTATGAAACATCGTTGACGATTGTTTTAATTGCCGAAAATCGCGAGTCGTTCCCTGTGAATTGAGCAGCTCAAAATCACGGTGGTACATTGTTGGTATATGCCCTGCAAACAAGACCAATGCGGGTTTCCTCTCGGTGACCCAATAAGTACATGTAGCATGCATGTAGCAATAATTTCGCACAACCTCGCAATTCACGGTAACGATTCGACTCAATAACCGCATGGGATTTTTTTTATTTTTCTAACATTGTGGTGAACGCAGCGGCCTCTCGTGGCTAGAGGTCACCCGAACCAATTACACACACCACATATGCGACTCAAAATCTGAAGTCTTAACACGTGCGCTTCGATGCGCATATGCTTGAACTTAACAATTGGACAAATTATGGCAAATAGCCTGATGAAGCTGGTTGTAATCGCCAACCAAACGTCGTATTCAAATTGTAAAACACACCGGTGTGCTGAAGTAATAACTAATGGGCATGTTTTGTTTACGTGACAAACATTACTAAGTCACAGTCACTTTAATATGTTTTCTTGTTCACGTTTTTGTTTTCTTGTTTGTTGCGGTTGCACCCGATTCAAGAGCCGAATGGCTCACAGGGCTATACCAAATAAATGAAAATGAAAACTGAAAATTGTCCATGTCGGGTGGTGGCGGGTTTAACGACACATTTTATATTCACGTGATCTCCCCCCCCCCTCCCCCCCCAAAAAAAAACCCTTTAATATGAATCGACCAAGTGACGCATCCTTATAACACCCACAGACCTCTCGAGTGGAAGGTAATGGCGTGAGCAAGACATTGCAGGGCTGCGCCTTTACCTAAACCCAACGACGATGCTTGTAGCTGAACACCGATTCGGGGGGCAGGCTGTGGTGTGACGGACGAGAGCTGCCCGTGGCCACGAAGGGCCTCTCGCGCGGTGTTTGTCGCGACTCGGGGGTGGGGGGGGGGGAGCTTAGACGGCGAGCAGCATCAGAATCATTCATACTCGATAAATCCGACGAGCTATAAAGCTCTTAATTACAGACGTCCAAGAGGGGCGGGTCAGAACGTTACAACAGCAACAACACACAATACAAAAACACGAATATCAGAGTCGGCGTCGGCGGCGGCTATAACAGGACACCTCCTCCCCGCTCCACCCCCAGTGCCCCCGTGCCTGCGTCTCACGGGACGATCGAGGCAGCCAGTGGCGGGGTTGGCGGGGTGGTGCAGGGAGGCCAGGGGGGGAGGCGGCGGTGTTCGCAATCGCCACGGACCGCAGCTGCTTGCCGCTTCGCCTGCCGGTCGCGCGCCCAGGAGGGCGGTGGTCCCACGTGGCCGTGCTTTACGCATCAACGTGCACATTGTTGTTAACGCGTTACGGACCTTTCCATGTTGGACGTGGAAGGTGGCGCGCATCGGGCGACTTGTTGGTGGGGGGGGGGGTGGGATAGCGGCCGTGATTTTTAACTGTGGTGGCCACGAGAGGCCAGCGATATTACTAACGGGGACGAGTAACGCGCGGGAAATAGCGCAAGACGCAACTGCAGCGACGTGGCGTTCTTCCGTGCGCGCGAGTTCATTGCCGCCACGTCCTTTTGAGTGCATCAATCGCGATGCGCAGGAGGTCCTCCTCCTCCTCGTCATCCTCATCCCTTCCTGCCCGGTGCTGCTCCTCCTCCTCCTCCCCCCGTGTCTCGCCGCACTCGGCGTCGCGTGTCGTCGTCACGCAGTAGCTGGCGGTGTTTCTCCCCCCCCTCCACCACCATCACCTTCTCTCTCTCTCTCGCATCAGCCCCAATCGGCGTTCACATCAATTAACTTTCACGCGAGCCGCTGCAAATCGGCGAGCGCACGGGCGAGAGAGTGAAAATGAATAAACAGAGGGAGATGCCGCCGCCACCGGTGGTGGTGGGGCGAGGGAACAAGTCACACCGACTCCTCCTGTCACAACACCGTTGAGTGCTCGCTTGGTGGTGGTGGTGGTGGAGCGACTTGGACATCCCTGGACATCGGAGCTTAACAGCCCATTCGGATTCCTCCACCAGTATCAAATAAATATTCTTATTTCTCAAAAGGAGGGTGAAACACACCTATGCACGCGCCCACCCACTCCCTCCTCTTCCACCGCACCCCGCTTCTCCCTCCAGTCCTGGGGCTTGGGAGAGTCCTTCAGGAGGGTTGGGGATGACGGCCGCAGGGCACGGCGGGGTCCCTCGGCCGGAGAAGGTGGACCAGGCGCAAGCGCTCGCCCGCAGCTGCGCGGGGGGTCCCGGCTTCCAGCAGTGCGACCGGGGCTTCGCCACCTGCGCCATCCACACGCACGGCAAGTGCTGCAAGCTGCACTGGAGCTGCCACATGGGATGGTGTCACTGTGAGTCTCACGCGCGAGCACCCGGGGTGCCACACACACACTCTCGCTGCTCGACGTGCACTTCACTTCACTGCACACACACACAGCATTACACGCTCGACGTGCACTTCACTACACACACACTCTCGCTGCTCGACGTGCACTTCACTTCACTACACACACACACTGCATTACACGCTCGACGTGCACTTCACTTCGCTACACACACACATACTGCATACACACTGCACCGCGCGTACACAATGCACACGCGCTACTTGTATTTATGTGATGAATGTTTTTCGCACCGTACGCAGCCAACCGCACCACGTCCACTCTCCACACGTGCACGACACACACTGCACGATACACCCCCGGCACCGTACACCGTGCCCACACTACCCACACGCACTGCATGTCACACTCAAACGCACACCATATTAGCACGGTTGGCTATGTACGGCGCCAAAGAAGTGCAACAGACATACACATAAGGGTTTCCCAAACTTCAGTCCTCGCGAGCCACCACGCTACAGCTTCCCGCGTTCGCCAAATTACTCTCCATTCAAATTTACTCGTTCCACGCTGCACACGCGCCCGATGATTGTTAAACACGTGCCTTACGTCACGAGCAAAGCAATTAACGCCGCGTTAATAGAGCCGATTTCAATTGATCTTGAGAGACAGTGTGGAAGTGTACACTTGTTCCACGTGTGTGTATGCACACACGTGGAACACGTCACACTGATAGCATTAATAGCTAAGTGTGTCACGTGAGACCTGTTTGGCAGTCATAGGGCGCGTGCAGCGTGTATTTTGAATGGGGGAGTAAATTGAGTTTGTAAAACCCCAGAACTACACACACTACACACGCGCTACATTTCCCAGCCGGCATACATGTTACACTCTACACTCACTACACACCTACATACACACTATACAACTCTTCACGTACATCTAATTTTAGAAATGTGTGGCAAGCAGGGGATGCGCGAATGACTTGTTTTTTTTTGTTTGCACTCCACGTGAAAAAGAGTTGAGTTAAGGAATGTGTGAAGAATCCAAAGTATGACCCCGTTGGTAAGAGTCGAGATTAATTGAGACTCACGGGGAGGGGAGCATATTCTATTCCGAACGCCGTGGAAATCTTCACTATCGGCATCGCGATAGCAGTTTTGCTTCGGGTTATTTAGTTGTAGAGCACCGCTGATAGTATGCAGCACCATACCAACACAATCCTTCAAATTAACGACTAAAACAGCAATCGGGGGTTGTCGAGAGTGGAAGCTATAGGAGGGTGAACCATGCTTCCGCGGGGGATAATGGACGCGTAGGTGGAGTGATGAAATCCGCTGACGTGCGAGTGGGAGATGGATTGTTACTTCTCAGAACCGCAACGGACAGCTTGGCGGGGAGGGGGGGGCCTTCATCCAGAAGTGGGTTTAAAATGGGCTGTAAATTCACTCTGAAGTATTTCTATTATTGCTAAATCAGCGACTTTTCTACACCCATTAAACAGAGAGTACAGTCGGCTAATTGCCAATCGGATCGTGGTGTTTTCCCATATTTTATAGGTAAAATAATCACGAGGAAAGTGGCGAGCAATAAAAGGGTTGCAGGGTTTTCGAGAATTCACCAATTACCTTTATCGCTCATGTTTATGAAATTATTTAATTCATTTATTTGTCAGTCATTGCCAAATACGTTTATAAAGCAGAATGTATTTACAGTTGGGAAATGTTCAAATTGATATTCTAAGGAAATGTTAGTTTGTAAAAGTGCATCTGCACTTTAATGCTGACGTCGTTTATTGATGTAAATTGGCCTGCAAAACACCTTAATGCACACTTACTAAGTGACATCATACTGTTGATTTATTTCACTTATATAATGTTTATTATGGGTCTGTCCTGCTGGTATCATCAATGTCACAGTGACCCCACACTCCTTAAAGCATCTGGTTTATCAGTGCTATCCTGCCTTCGTAAGTGTTGAAATTTTCCTGAGTTACAATTTGCTTTCTTTTTTATTGAATGGTTTTCTTATCGTTTTTTTTAGTCCCGAGCTTATAATGAAAACTGCCTACCTCCTTGTTCATGTCTAACAGAGACCTTGGGTTGACTCCTCAGCAAAATTTGCTTCTCACGACGGCAATGGTTTTTTTTGTTACCGGTCAGAGAGATGATTGGCTGATTTAACGTGGACCAGGATTTCATATGAGCAAATTTAAATTGTGAGTGTTGCTAACTTAATAAGTTAAAACTGAAATGTGCTATGGTGTGGCATATATATCTATTGGTGGCTTGGAGCTGGTTGTAGAAAATCCCACATTCTCACAGAAAAAAACTACTCTAGTCTTATCCATGGATCAACCCTTGTTGACTTTCCACAAATTTGAACGTGCTTCTTTTTTATCAACCCTGAATGGATGAATGGCTGAGTAAACAAAGGCACCTGTCGAATTGTTGATCAAGTACTCTACTAACCCAAAGTGCCATCCTATCCTGGTTCACCCGTTGATGGAATATTTGGACTTTCAAGAGACATTCTAGTGACATGGACATGCTAGTGACATGTCCATGTCACTAGCAGAGGATGGCTTCCTATTGCACAATTCGTCTGGTGAGGGTTTTTTTTTTCAACAATCGCAAAGAAGCAGAAGGGATGACGGGCTTCATGTTTCCTCTGAACAGTGCACAGCTTTTGATAACTGACATAGAATAGAAACGGCATGAAAGTGGTGCGTTTCAAGGCGCAGCTCGCAAAGCCTGTACCAGAAAGCCACGCACACTAGGGGAAATGCAGTGACGGTGGATTTTTCCTCTTTATATTTGGATGGCTACAATAACATTCTGTACGCATTGTATTTACTAAGTTACAGCACCATGTATGGCTTTTAAAATGTATTAAATGTTTTCACATTTGTGGATAGCACATTACATTATTGTATCGGTCATATAATACATTTGCTTAATGTGGCCTGCGGTAATTATTTTAAAATTGTCGAGCCAAACCATTTGCAAGTGGCCTTATATTGTACATAAAATGTAAAGGTGATGCTTAATTTAAAAACTTGAATGCTTGAAGGTTCAGGATATTGGTTTTTAGTTTTTTTCCATTGGTTATCGCAAATCATATTTCTAAAAATCAATAGTCTGATGCGTTTTGTATGCCTGCTTATCTTTCAATTTGCACATCCTTTAAATAACTAGTTTACATGTTAATTTGTTATGATTGTGAAGCACTGGTTAATATTCATAAGTAGGCTTCTTGACCAGTATTATGATTCGTAAATCGTTTGTTTTCGGTTAGATCGTGAAGGTAGAATTCAAATCTTTAGCTATAACCTTCTCCCGCAGAACCAATCAATTAAGTTGATTTGATTTGTGAAATACTGGATGAGCAGAAATGTCACAATACCATTCCATGTTTTGTTGGAATGCTTGAACCACACAATTGAATTGAAACTCATCAAGGATTGTTCTTTCACATTTTTCCCGGTGTAATCTCTGTATGGCAGCAAATCGCAACTGTCCCGTCAAACAGGCTGCATTTAAAATATAACCAAAACTCTCATTATCATCAGCCGTTCACCCACTGATTTACAGTAATTACATTCGTAGATAATGCTTGCAATGACGTACATACTTATTAATTGAGCAGCACACTTGGACTATGCGGTATCAATTAATAAAAAGGCGAATGGGGTTAATATTAAGTGGGACATAAATTGTTGAATGCTTGGGTAATTTAATGAACAACAAAAGACCTAATACGCCCTTTATCATGTAGGCCTATACAGTTACCTCAAGTGATTGTAACTGTATTGTTTGTTGTGACATTCTGACCTGCCACTACTTGACATGTATGGAAAAGAGCTTTAGAGCTCATCGGATTCCTTCAGTATAAAGAAATATTATCATGTATGAACACATCAGTCAATCCACTTTGCACCCTAATGGTATGAAACAACTCGTGCAATCCTATTTAATTATCGTGCAATCTTATTTCAGTGTTGTCCGTGGCTCCTATTTTCTGACGATAAGCAAAGTATTCCCCATCCAACGTGCATACAGAGTGGACACCGTTGCATATAGCATTCTCTGGATGTGTTCACATGTTCCGCCGCATGACATTTTGCCAAGCTGAATTCCGCTTAAATCCTGCGAAAGAGAAACCAATTCTACGTCAAACATTGCGTTCACTATCATCGCCTTCGTCGTGCTAACGATGTGAGGCAATCGACGAGCAGTTTGTTCTCTTTAAATGTGTAGGTATGCTTCCTGCCGCTGGTATTAAAGACAATAAAGCAGTGACACAACATCTGCAGAATCACACCGACTTCGCCCGACAGCGAAACTATATTCCGAGCAAACAGGGGCGGCATCTGATAGCGGACAAAACACCGCGGCCTTCTGTGACCAAAGAGCCCTGGAGCACTTTACATTTGCAGGTCATTAATCCTTGTATCGATTCTGTGGCACCAACCCCATTATCCCGCCCCCCCACACACACACATGTGTCACGTCCCCTCTTGCGCGTGACCTGCAGGCAAGTACGTGTACCAGCGCATGACTCCCGTGGAGCAGCTACCCAGCACCGTGGTGCCGAGTGGCATCATGCCTGAACGAACCCCCGTGTGCTCGCTGCTGATCTCCCCTTCGAGATCCCCTTGCGGTGCTCGGGCTACGATGGGGGGTGGTGGTGTCGACGCTTCTAGAGCAGCCGCCACCGCCGCCGCCGCTGGTGGTGCCGCTGCTGGCATCAAGCAGGCGATTTTAAGTGAGGGCTTCAAGATCAGGCGCGTGAACGGTACGCTGTGCTATGTGCAGCACCTGCTGCTCTCCCCCCGTTGCACCAGTGCCTATATGGTGTTGGATGGTGGCTTTGCGGACAGTACTCCTATCTGTGGTAGAGGCTGGCGTCAACAGCAGCAGCAGCAGCCCCTTGCGTCGCTGATCGTCAGCCCTTGTTCGTCTCCATGCTCTGGTAGCGGTAGTGCGGGCGAGTCGGCTGACTCCGGAATGCCAGCGTCTCCGGACTCTGCCGAGGGAAAACGCAGCGACGCTGAGGAGGAGACCGAGGGAGAAGGAGATGAAGGTGACAATGAAGATGATGATGGTGGTGGCGGCAATGAAAATGATGATGATGATACCTGCAGTCTGCAGTCTCTAGCAAGTGGTGTAGGACTTGGTGGTGAAATGCCACAATTGCGAGCCAATAGGATGAGAGGCATATCAGAGGTTGTTGATGTGATTGAAACGACTGTGTAGCTTTTATTGTATGCACAAGACAAATGCGTGATCTGCGCATTTCATAACTCATTTAATTGTCACGCTTTAAAGAAAAAAGTCGGCACGGCCATCGGTAACAAGTGTGTAAGTTTGAAAATTGTGCAAACACGTAAAAATATTGTAACCATACATAGATCTGTTTAAACATTTATAATAGGTATTTATTTGTTGCATTCTGTAGCCATGTTAAACTACATGACACTGTATAGCTGTCAAACAATAAACGCAACATCTGAAATCGTTCATTTGATTTGTTGACGTGGCAATGCTCATGCTTCTGTATTCTTAATCAAATTGCCTTCCTAAATTAAACGGTATAAGACATAATGACTCTTAATTGCTTATCAAGATGCAATATGTCAGAATATTGAAAACAGAGTCCATATGCACGCTCCAGTCGCCAATGCGTAGCCAGTGTTTTCTATAATTGGTCTATTGCAACAAGAGTAACAAAGAGAAAATCGGGTTAGGAGTGAGTCACATTGCAGCCTGAAATGGGGGATGTATAACGCACATTATCTGGAGTGTTCTATGTCATGGCTTTTATGTTCAAATATTGATGTAAATGATTGCCGGTCATTGGTAGCGGCATGGGAATCGTGGTCATAATGCTGCTTTGAGCCAAAAAAAGTGTAGGGCTCAGCCATGCAGTCTCCTTAAACCCCATGCGTCCACTATGGCTTTCCTTTTACACCAGAGAAATAAGGCTCTGGGCAAAATGCTGTCTATTTACCCAGCCCAAAATACATACGAATGAGCACAGCTCGTTACATCCAAAACACAACTTTCATTACAATTTTTCCAGAAGGATGAAAAAGATTAAGGACAAGTAAAGCCTGAGTCTAGTCGAGCATGTTTATCGTTTCCGTTTTGTAAAGAGGCATTAATTAAATTACTCATATCATTGTATGCGTGTACATGAGGCATTGTAAATGTACAACCTCGTGGATTATCTACATGTAATGTCTTCACAAGCAAAAGGTGTTAAAAGGCAAATATGTGATTTCTTGCTCAAGCCACTTGCTGGTGGAATGGCCTCCACTGGGGGGACACCCACTCAAGAGGGTGTTTTGTCTATCCCACGCTGACCCAGATGTGTCCAGAAAGGGCTCGGTTTATCCACGGTTTTTTTTTACATTTATATTTATTGTCATTCTTCTTCGTTCGTATTGCTGATTGTAGATTCAGAGCAACATACATTCAGATGGTCAAGCCAGATAACCGTGTCAGGAGCAGCGGAGTGCATCACTGTGATGTCTCCTTCGTATTTGTGGATCGGGCATTATTACATAGTTATATGTTGTATACATAGTCTGTTCTGGATGACCACAGTCATACACTGGAGAGTTTTTAGTTTTCCACGTGTGAATCAGGTATCCGCATCTCCTGCCATGGTTTGTGTGGATGCAGTTTAGGGTGGAACGAGAGCTTTGTGGAAGATCAAACCCAGGGATCTTCTGCGTTGGGTCTTTTTCACAAGGTGTTTGATTCCGAGGTCTTTTGAACTCCATTCAGCTCTCCAAGCTTCATCGGAGTTGAATTCGCATTGTTGATTGTCAAAGAACCAAGAATACAATGTGGATTTCAAGAAGAGGGAAAAAAAACCCACATATAACTTGGGTAGTGACACAATCAGAGACACTAGGAGTAGGAGGCATTCTATTTATTATAGCCTTCACAGGGTACAAGGGTAACAACACTTTTAGTCAGGACAGCTAACAGACTGGCTGGCTGACAACGCCGAGAAGGTGAAGATGGTGATGAAGACTCCAGCAATCCGACGGGATTCCACTCCAAGCAACAGCCCCGAGCCTTCGCTCGGTCCCCTTTTATCCTCCCAGGGTGGCCTCGCTCTGCCCCGACCACGCCCCCTTTCTAGAACCTACTCGTGGGTTCCCGGGCTTACCTCACGTGCCCCCTCTCTTACCTTTGCCCTACATCCCTCTCTCTGGCTTATCACATGACCTGCTGACAGACAGGGCTGCTGCAACTGCAGATCCCCTTCTTTGCCAGCAACTATGCTACGTCGTGACCCATTCCATGTCACTACACTTGTAACAAGCTCGACGCGGTCGGATGGTAAGCCCAGATGCCCTTTTTCGTATTACGTCGAGAGCACTGTATTTAAGGGGGAGGTGAAGAAAATAAAAAATAGGGAAGGGGTGGGTGTACCCACGCTTTATCCCACCACACGTGACCTGCCGGCTGACTAACTGTGGTGGCAACCATATTCTTGGTTCTTTCGGTAAAGTCACGTAGATAGAAAATAAAAATAACCATTTATACTGCTCGGTTTGACAGGCCGGGGGGATATCTTTGAGCAAGACATGTCACTCAACAGGAACTTATTACAAATAATGACATCTTTTGTATATACACAGCAATTAAAGCAGTTATATTTTCTATTTATCATAATAGTGTTTTTCCTCTTCATGCCTTGATTTACTTGATTAGTTTAAATGTTAATTATTTTTAAACAGAATTGCCAATATAGGGTTTTCAAAGGTGGGGCTTCAATAAAAGTCTCAAATTTTAATCGTGTACTTAATTTGGATTATGTCCTCAAACAAATGTAACCTTTTTTGTTTGAAAAAAAAATGTGCACATAGTATGTGCTATATAGAGATAGGCAGTGTGTATACTTTGAGTTATGGACTACTATAGCTGAAATAAAATGCATTAAATGTTATCTAGGAAACATCTTTATCTGTGTAAAATGGTGTCCATGATTTTTAAATCTTTCATAATGCTTGCTAATGTGTTCACAGTCATGTGTAATTTGTGCACCTTCTTCTGTGCTCGCTCGCCATTCGCAGGAGAATTGTGAGGAGGCCCAGGTCTATGCTTGTCACCGGTTTTGAGGGATCCGCGGCGATGCAGCGTTCCCAGGGGACGAAGCGGGCAGACAGCAATTTCCCATAAATATTGAATTTACGTTTTTAAAAAACAAACATTTGAAAAATGCTATATAAAGTTAAAGCATGGGGGGGGGGGGGGGAGATAAAATAAAAATCGTATTCTTGTTGGCAACATAATTTTTGCAGGTAAAAAAAATCAGTCTGTTGAATAACCCTAATTATAGGCTTTTCCTTGGAAAAAAAAGTTTTTATATTTGGTCAGCTAGTTTAAACTGTTTTTCTTCTTCTTTTGATAGATCAGATCATACATAAAATATTTAATCACAGATGGGTTTCTGAAAAAAATGAAAGTATTTTCACATAATTGACTTGCGTATTGTCTGAAGCGGCCACTAATGGTGTTCTATTGTATAGCAATAAATGCCACTTGTTTATACATCTTGAAGGGACACATTATATCACACAAATATTGATACATAATAGTGGCTTGGTTATTACGTCGCTAAAATTATCCTACATTATTTGTCTTCATGGTTTTCTTTGGCAACTTATATGTGCAACTTAATTGGGGTTTAGGCTCTTTGATTCTAGTTTTTAAAATGCATGTTGCTCAAGTTATACTACAATATGCCTCGTGAAGTCGCTCCCCAAATGGTCGACGACAAAAGAGGTGAAAATTTGGACATTGTAACCAAAACACATATAGCAAACTTTAAATTTAAAACGGTTTAATTAAGATGCTATTTTTCTACAACTGAAGATGGTTCTGTTGACCTTGACTATCCATGATTAATAATGAAAACATCAACAGCAAGAAATTAATAAATGTAGAAAAAAAAACACATGTACTGGAATGTCTTCGTGCAGCAACAAACAACTCTATAATTTAACCTTCGACTTCCATATAATGAAAGTTTGCATACATATAATGTTTTTTACAAATGTTAAGTAAACATTTAACTTACTTGAATGTGTACATAAACCGATGTAGCAGATAGAGCTTACATAAGCAATAATATGAAGCTTAAACATTGTAAAATGTTTGGGAACATGATTGTTGTCCAATTGCAGAGGAAGCGATGTTGCATGATTGCTTCGGGTGAAAGTTAACTCGCGGCTTTATGTCTCCACGTGTAAGTATAGCACGTTTATCAAAACTGGAGACAATACAATTACACAACAGCAATTGCTTTTGATTTTACCTCCTAGGTATTCGATTAAACAGCTGAACGAAAACTAACTTTGCCAATTACAATACTTCGTTCTTCAATAACAATAGAGCTGTCATTGCAGCTTACGCGATGGTAAACGGTCATACACATGTGCTCAGGCGACTTGGGTTTTTAAAGTGTAGATTACCCGCAAAGGGATTTTATTGTATAATCAATCCATGTGCACCTTCCGAGTAAGGTAATACAGTACAGTGCCTAAATAAGACTTCAAGTAAATGCAGTCTCGGTCAAGATCCGATTAACGACACACTTGCCAGTGTTGCACACAGCTCGTACTAACACGGGACAAATTATTGTACAGTTCAAATAATTCAACAATAAATAATTTGCAATATGTAATTTGACCAACGCCCCTTGAAATGGAATGTATAATGATGAGATGGTAAGGCTCCCTGAGAGTAATCGCAGAAAAATGTTATTCGTATGAACTAACCTGCTACCTGCCAAATTACAGCTTGTAAAAAACACACAATGTACTGTATGTAATTACAGCTTGGTGAGTGAATGGGTCTTGTCAATTTTATGTAATTTCATATCGTTAATATGTAAAAGCGCCTCTGATTATGCAAAGAGGCTTGCTTTTTTTTAGTAATCAAAAGAAATATGCATGTATGCAAGTACCATTGCACCAAGAAGTCAAATAATGAGGCCATATCCATTCTTAATGTCATATGGTTCCAATTTATGGGACAGATAATTTTTCAGAAAAATACTTAATTGCATATTTTGTAAAAAAAACATTTAATCAGTAATCCTTTATTCACATATTGTGTTGGTTGGGCAGTTAAACACGCCTTAAATGTTGGCGTATTTCAATAGTAAATGGAATGCTTATGTGTTCAGGCTCATCAGACAATGTTCCTTCATTATATGCCAAGAATAACTACCATTTTGGTCGATGCACTCGATGAGAGGTTTCTGAAAAACAATTCTTGTCTGATAAAGATTGTGGGAGATTAACGTACACATGAATATGCATGTTTGTGTGCACTGAATGTTAATGGTTTGAAAATTGCAAAATGATCACAGCAACCTAGGTTCAATTCCTAGCTAATTACATTAGTACATGGGCTCTTGAGTTTTAGCTATGACCTCTCATTGGTCAACTCGGCCTTAAATGAATACTTCATGCAGAGGGATACATATATGGTTGGGCATGATGATAGGCCAAATACCACCTCCCATGCCGTGTCGCCTCGAATGGGTACTTAAAGGCACTTATAAAGACTAAACGCAAATATTAGCTTAGGGTGTGGAGTGTTGGTGTCCATCCATCACAAAGATGATGCTGTAAGCGCCAGAGTCGTTTGGTTGCCATGTGGTATTGCGGTCGCGAGTGGCTAAAATTCCGATTCTAAAATTAGAGTCCTTATCACAATCAGTGCTGGTGTAATGCACAGGTCCAGAGGATAAGGCCAACATGAAGGCAGGAGCTGAGTCCAATTGCACATTTGTATGTATATATGTAGAAATTCTTTCGCACTGTACGTAGCCAAGTGTGGTAATCGGAGGTGCGGGGGAGGAACAACATACTAACACATGAAGCAGTTCTAAATAAACTAATTTTCAATCTAGATTTTTAGTGGCTTTCTAATATCAGAAGAGCGTTACAGACAGCCTAAGAAGCACGCGATGCAGTGGCCGTCTT